ATGTTAACATCACTAACCCAGATAAGGAACATGAAGACTTTTACTCACCTAAGAAGTATTATTAAATGTAATAACAAACATGAACACCAACATTTAAGTTGATGTTAAAGCTACAGGCAGCTACATGTATGTGTTAAAGGGCAGTGGTCGTTGTACCATGCATGTGTGACGTTTGTGTTTCACCACAATCCAATGCCTTCTTCTAATGCAAATTACCAGTGGTGACTTCAGGATACCTTCAGAAATTACCTGGTTAAAGCTTAGTCTCAATTTGTACTAAGTTGGCATCTTTCTCCATATAAGACCCATATCTTGAGCATGTGTAGCACGGCAACCACCAGCCTTTACAATGATTGTGGTACTTACATATTCACGATGTTCTCTCAGCTCTGTCTGCCTACTCGGGGTGTCAGGCACAGGATCACCACTTGGGTTTAAACCGCGAAGACGTAAAGACGGAGTCCGAGGTGGTGGCAATGGCGATTTTTCATGCACTTTACTGAAAATTAATTATTTAAAATTAATTCCTTTTTATCAACATTAATTAAGTTAACATTTTGCACATATTTTTCTATAATTTTTTGTTAATTTTCAGACAGACAGTTTCAACTTTTACATGCTCCTTTTTGTATAAGTACATGTTTTTAGTTCTATGCTGTGAGTATAATGAAGATGAAAATAAGTCTTGTATTGGATCACAAAACAGATTAATTTTCTTTGAATACGAGAATACAATTGTCTAGGTACCAAATTATATGATTTTTGTCAAACAAAATGGTTACTGTTAATTTGAATCTAATTAGGAAATACAATGTGGAGCACATTTATACCATTATGTGTTAACTATGTACCAAGTTTGGAATAAAAAACGGTCCATGAAATTCTTATAAAATGCGATGAACAGACAGACTAATGAACAAACAGATACTGTGAAATACTTTATTTTCGCTTGAATTTATTTTTGCTATTTTCGCTGAAGGGATGATTCCGTGAAAATAAAATCCAGCAAATACACTTTTTTTCCTATATTTTACATTAAGCTCATCAAAAATCAGTGAAAATAAATTCCATACAAAATGCCCAAAAAGCCTTTTCAGCGAAAATTAATATACAGTATACAGACAGACGAACAGACATCCATTAGACATCAGTGTTGCCCAGGATTTAAATTATGAGAAAAATTCTGCAAAGTTTTTAAAAGTGACAAAAATGACTACAAATAGGGGGTTCTGGAATTGATAGCGTTTGTGTGTTCATCGTTTGTGCGCTTGCGCATATTCAGTTCCCTGAGGACAACAAACCAGAAGGTAGGACAGATTTGAATATTCCGAACGTGCAGTGTCAGTGCAACGTAAAAATTCCGCTGAAATATAACTGCAATCATCTTTCAGCTAACTCGTCCTAGCCTCTGAAAATTTGCACACTATTCTGCCTAAACAAGAATAACGAGCATACAAATTATCTTTGGCTGTAGCGTAATATTTTCATATTTTTTGCGAGTCATATTTTACCATCTCTATTTCAGTCTATTTGCTCTGAAAAATCATCTTTTTCAACTGGAAATCCACGTTTCTCAGCTGTCTTAAATAGTTCTTCTAGCTGCCCTTGTTTGTACCCACTCACACTCACTCCGCTATCTTTAAACATCGGCTGAGATAGCTCCGCTGTTAGCAATGCACATGGCAATTAAAGAACAGAAGATATCATTAGAAAATGAACAAATCTGAGAGAGGTCCACATGTAGTACCTATATGTATAATATATCAAAGCAATTGGACTTGCGGTTTTCAACAAGAAGTCGAAAATATCACTTTTTACCAAAAATCACAAAAATATTCATCAAAATTAGAGAATTAAAGATATCATTATGAAATGAACAAATCTGAGAGAGGTCCACATGTAGTACCTATATATGTAATATCAAAGCAATTGGACTTGCGGTTTTCAACAAGAAGTCGAAAATATCACTTTTTACCAAAAATTACAAAAATATTCACCGAAATTAGAGAATTAAAGATATCATTACAAAATGAACAAATCTGAGAGAGGTCCACATGTAGTACCTATATATGTAATATCAAAGCAATTGGACTTGCGGTTTTCAACAAGAAGTCGAAAATATCACTTTTTACCAAAAATTACAAAAATATTCACCAAAATTAGAGAATTAAAGATATCATTACAAAAAGAACAAATCTGAGAGAGGTCGACATGTAGTACCTATATATGTAATATCAAAGCAATTGGACTTGCGGTTTTCAACAAGAAGTCAAAAATATCACTTTTTACCAAAAATGACAAAAATATTCACCAAAATTAGAGAATTAAAGGTATCATTACAAATTGAACAAATCTGAGAGAGGTCCACATGTAGTACCTATATATGTAATATCAAAGCAATTGCACTTGCGGTTTTCAACAAGAAGTCGAAAATATCACTTTTTACTAAAAATGACAAAAATATTC